TGGCCTCCTATTCAGATACTCTGTAGGCTCGTCACACAATCTTCCTTGTCATGCAATCTTCTTCCCCATGTGGGGGAGGAGGATTGTGTGATGAGCTCACATAGGAGAGGAAGATTGCGTGACAGGCCAATGCTGAAGTCAGCATGGATAGCTCTTGGGATCACAAGACCCACACTTGCAATGGCTTCACCCTTATAAAATTAGGTATAATAATATTAGGTACATATGTACACACTGTAGCCATGAGGTTTTGAGAGTGAATTGTTTGGTTGAGGAGGGTTCAAATTAAAAATGCATCATAAATTCTCTTTTGGTTCGCATTCCAGAATTTGATCAAGTGCTCATGGTCTCCTGATGGGCTCATGATATCATCTGGATCAGCTGACAGGTAAACTACATTAGTTATACATTTACGAGCAGAAACTGAACTAGACAAACATGTGTAGAACTGGAGGGGTTGAATGCATTTACTTGGAATTAATTCTCATTGTAATAAGCATGCAATTAAACATGCTACATGTACTTAAAATTAGTCAAATTTGTTGTTTTTCCTTTAGATTTGTCTATGTTTGGGATACAAATTCTAGAAGAATTCTCTACAAGCTTCCTGGACATGATGGATCAGTAAATGATGTTGACTTTCATCCTAATGAATTAATATGTAAGTAAAATCTACCATGCCCTTTGGTTTGTTTGTTAAATTATTTATTTTTGTTGTGTTTTATCATAGATTATGTTAATAACACTTATTTCCTGAAAATTGAGTGACTATCTTGTGACTTCTCTCCAGACAATGTACAATGTACATGTATTCAAATTTTGTTCAAAATCTGTTGTCTTTGGTGACTTCATTCCTTTTTGGGAGGTGGGGGTTATCATTAGAAGGAATTGAGGAAAACATTATTGACTTACAGTACAATTAAGCTGGAAGGGATTTTCAGCATAGTGATATGAAACAGAACATGCTTATTGAACATTCCAGCTTCTGAGCCTACTTGAAGTAATAAGAATACACAAGAAGACCTGCCAACAGAGGCTAATAAACTGTTATGGCTTGAATCATAACCAGCCAAGTTTTACTGAAATCCTTTTTTCTGTTGCAGTAATGTCTTGTGGAAGTGACAAGAAAATATACCTTGGAGAGTTACAAGCATGATTTGGAAACTAGCTATTAATAGTCCCGCACCGAAGAATGTGGTGGACAGAATCTCATAGACTGTACACATTTGTTGAAAATGTGGTTCCTACTGCTTTCATACAATTTTTGTTTTCATCTCCTAAGCCCAGAGCTTAAGATGCGAATTCTCCTAACTATTTTTATATATTTGCCTTGCTTATAGTTGTGTGAGTTTGACTGTGTATCATGGCAAAAAATATTAAATTTGTAGATGGGTTGCTTTATTTGCAACACCCATTTACTGGACTCCCCTTTGATGTCTTGAGAAGGTAGTTGCTGATCACAATCAAAATAACAGACTGATAACAACCTCACTACAGACTAAGAGAAAGAAACTCATTCTTTGTACTTGTAAACAAGTTTTATTTAAAACAGTTACCATATGAGCCTTGTTGATGCAACAAGCTTTGTTTTTACATGGCATGTGAATGTAAATAAAGTAAACTACATGTTTTGATTAATTGAATGCCCTTTTATTGAGCAATGTAGCCAAGTGAATGTATGAATAATTTTAGCTCTGGAAAAAAACTTCACAACCATACAGTGTATACTTAGTTACCGGTAACTTAATGTTCGCATTATTTTGACTTCTACATACATGTAACTGTCCTTATTGAATGATACAGAGATTGGTCTGTGACTACAGGTAGCCTTGTTTTAATATTGAATGGTTATCCCATACTGACTCTTTGGTTTGTTTT